TGGACTTGGAGCAGCTTGAGTTTGGAAAGAAGAAATCGGAATCGTCCAGGATGAAAAGATTTTGTAAGGATGTTAGCGATCAGATATTGAGAAGAGACATGAATATGATGTAATGTGCTTTTTCGACTGTGATTCTAAATAAAGTGGCGGTCAAACTCAATGTCCTTTGTATGCTCATGAAAGACATCATTATGAGGAATCTGACTGATACTCTTATTATCACAAAAGAGTGGAATACTAGTGGATTGTGGAACTACTACTTACTAAAGTAACCAACTAATCCAAATAAGCTCAGAAGTGGTATCTAAAAGAGCTTGATATTCAAACTCGATGCTAAAGAGAGATGTGATAGATTGCTTCTTACTACACCATGAAATCAAGGAATAACCAAGAAAAATACAATATCCGGTAGTAGAGTTCCTTGTTGAGTTGAGAGGAGTGGCGGACACTAAGAAATAGATTGTTATTATTATTTTAGTGGTACAAACACACTATAGTCTCAAAAATAAATACTCAATATATATATATATATATATTTCTCTTTCTCTCTATACTACTAGGATGCCTTACAAATCAAACTTATTGGGTATATAGGCTTTCTTATGGGGTAGGTATACACTATTAAGGTTAGGTGATTACTGTAGCTAGGTAGGTAGGGGGTAGGTGAAGCTGCTGAATTTTAACACTCCCCCACAGCAGCGACTTCTCTATCCACGAGTCCAATCTGACTTCGAAATTCTATAAACTTTAAAGTACTCAGTGCTTTGGTGAATATGTCAGCTATTTTTTTTTGTCCCGATTGGCTTCATTACAATCTCATCTTGAAGAACTTTCTCTCGAAGAAAGTGATGATGTACTTCGATGTGTTTCATCCTAGCATGAAAACTAGAATATCTGACAATCGTGTTGTAGACTGATTATCACAATGTAAAGCTACTGAGTAGTCTGTGGACTGAAGTAGATCTCTCATTAACTAAAAAACCACGTGGTTTCCTGAGCTGTCATCGCTGCTGATCTATTCTCCGCCACTGTAGTTGATAGTGACACCGTTGACTATCTTTTGCTACACAAAGATATAGCCGCTGAACCGAGATTAAACACGTATCGGATATTAGACCTTCGAGTGTTATGATCTCCAGCATAGTCAGCATCACAATAGGCCATAGACCTCACATTCTTCTCCTTTCTTATACAAGAGACCATAGTTAACTGTACCCTTGATGTACCTTAGGATCCTTTGGATTGCTTCTAAGTGAGGCTACTTTAGCTTCTGCATGTGTCAGCTCATCACACCAACCGCAAATGAAATATTTGTTCTTGTCATCGTTAGATAGATCATGCTTCTAACTAGTAGTCGATAAATAGTTGGATCTTCCAAATCTTTTCCTTCATGTGCATACAGTCTTAGATTTTTCTCTATCGGTGTTGTGATTGACTTGCAATTGAACATCCAGTACTTGAGCAGCATGTATTTCGCAAATTTTTCTTGGCACGAGAATAGTCCATCCTTCCTTCAGTCAACCTCCAACCCGAGGAAATGCTTGAGCTACCAAAGCTCCTTCATTTGAAACCTAGCCGATAGATTTGTTCTTATTCTTTGGATTTCCGCGTCATCGTCTCTAGTTAGGATTAAGTCATCCACATAGACCAACACAATTGCTAGCCTATTTCTAGTCTGTTTGACAAATAAACTAGAATCTGCAGGAGGAAGAGAGTATCCAATTTGAATTAAAAACTCATCAATCTTGCCATACCAAGCTCTCGGAGCTTGCTTCAATCTGTAGAGAGCTTTCTTTAGTTTGTAAACATATCTTTGCTTTTCTTTGCTCTCAAACCCAATGGGTTGCTCCATGTATATCTCTCGATCCACCTCACCATGTAGAAATATATTCTTCACGTCCATCTGCCAAAGCTTCCAACTTTTGCTGACTACTAGAGCTAGAAGAACTCGAACTATTGTTATCTTTGCAGCTGGACTGATTGTCTAGTCATAATCCAGTCCATACTGTTGAGAGAATCCTTGAGCAACCAAGCATGCTTTGGATCTCCCAATTAACCCATCCGATCGAGTCTTGACTTTGTAAACCCATTTATAGGGGATAGGTTTGATATCTTTGGCTTCAGCACCAACTCTCAAGTTTGATTCTGCTGTAGAGCTTGAATTTCGTCCTCCATTACTTGTCTCCATTCAACAATTTCGTATGCTTCCTCAAACTAGATGGCTCCTTCGCATCTTCCATAATGATAATATTAGCATACTTAGGATTTGGCTTTCTGGGTCTCGTTGATCTTTGAAGTTGTTCAACTGGTTCTTCTTCAATGTACTCTATCTGGCTCGGGTGCTCTTCTTCTGGTGTTGTCTAATAAACACCAGTTTTCCATGGATTATTCTCCTTTGAGGATGTTAAAGAGCTTGATTCTGTCTTCTCTGATTGACGTAGTCCTTCTTCTTGACCTAGCTCCCCCAGCTTCTTCTGCAACTGATCCTCTAGATCACTAGAGTCTAGGAGGGCAACTTATTGTGAAGCCTACCAAGATGAGGCTTCGTCAAACACAACATTCCTTGATATGTAGCACCGTCCGATTATGGGATCACAATATCTCCATCCTTTTCTTTTATTATCATACCTAAAAAATTTACATCTTACAGCCTTTTTATAGAACTTGCTGCGTAGTGATCAGGCACAAAGACATAACATACACAACCAAAGACTCTGAAATGGCTTACGGTTGAATTAGTATTCCACAACTTATGAAAGGGCGACATGAAATCCAGCTTCGATTGTAGTAGCCGATTGATCACGTGCGTCGCAGTCTTTATACACTCGACCCAAAAACGTCCTGGCACGTTCTTGGCATGAAGTATGCTTCTGCAAATTTTGGCGAGGTGATGATTCTTTCTTTCGGCTATTGCATTTTTCTATGGAGTATTTGGGCATGTTAGCTGTCGCTGAATCTTGTGTTGCTTCAGGTAGTCGTAAAACTCCTTCAATGTGTACTCTCCATCCTTGTTTGTGTGTAGGTAACGAATCTTCTTGCCGAGTTCTCCATCGACTGCGTCTCGAAATTGCTTGAATTTGGAGAGTACTTCAGACTTTTCCTTCATAAAATCAACCCAGACATACCTTGAGTAATCATCGATGAAAGTGATCATATACCACATCCCACAGATTAATTCTTGTTTTACTCGACCAAATACATCTGAGTGTATAAGCTCCAAAGGTTCCTTGGCTCTGAACTGTGACTCCTGATACGGTAATTGATGCGCCTTACCATACTGATAACCTCCACATATGGTCCCTCCTAAAATCTTCAAGTGTGGAAGCCCCTTTAACTTTGACTTTTCCATCATAATCTTGAGCTTGTAATAACTCACATGACCAAGCCGAGCATTCCACAGATCAGTCATCTCATTCTTTTTGGCTTTATCTATGTATGTCAATTCTGTCGACATCACATAGATAGATTCTACCTTCTGTCCCTCCATGACAGGTTCTCCTGGTGGCTTCAAGTTTCAATAGACTTTTACATCTTATGGCCAAATACTATGTAGTTTCCAGAAGCTATTAATAGGAAGAGAGAGAGAAGATTCTTTTTCATACCTGGTACATAGTATACATCTTGTAGTTGTATCCGATTTGGGTTATAGAGCAGTGTAAATGCAATCTTTCTGATGTGTGTGATAGGTAATCTTGAATTATTCTCTATCACAACTTCTCAGCCACATTCATACTCCTTCATGTTGACAAGTTTCCCCTTATCTCTCGTCATGTGGTTGGAACATCCAGAATCAATGATCTAATCTTCATTATAGCTGATTTCTTCTCAATCTGAAACTACTGCAGATGCGGTCTCAGATTCTTCTACAATCGAGGTTAGTGCCATACGAACAACCTCGTCTTCATCAACTGGTACATCTTCAATGATGATCACAGATGCTTGGGCATCCCATTCTTTTTTATCATCTTTACATCTGCGCGATGTTGCAACATTGCCCTCTGTAGGCTTTCTCTTGTAACGACAATCTTTAACAATGTTTCCTTTCTTCCCACAGTTGTAACGACTACTGTCAGGTCCCCTTTCTCGATGATCACCTTGCTCCTCATGCTGTTGTGTTCTGTTAGTGTATGGCCATCCTAGCTGCCTCCTTGAACCAGCCTTTCCATACTCTTATTTTCTGATGCATCTTGGTTTGCCTCTCTCCTTGCTGCTGCAGAGTGCTTCATCTTTGCTTTCTATTAAAACGTCAGCCATTTGTTTGTCTAGGGTTTCCTGTGTAGCGAGCAAACTCTCCAACTCTAATAATGTTGGTTGAGTCGCCCCCACGTGTGTAGCAGCAATGAGCCCGTGGTACTCTGATCTCAAACCGTGGATGATTATTCTCCTTATCCTTGCGTCGGGTACTTTAGAATCTAGATCTAGTTGAGCGATATCTAAGCAAAGTGATTTTACTTGCTTGAAGCACTAACTGATTATCAAATCTTTTTGTTGCAAGGTCATCAATTAATTCTCCATGAGTTGAAGTCGAGCATCATTCTTCTTCAAAAAGAGTGTAGCGAGCGTATCCTATGCCTCCTTCACAGTTCTAGCATCTTGCATGTAATCTACGAGATCTTCTTCTACTGTTGTCTTTAGCACAT